TTTTTACTTTTTCAGGGTTTGATTGTCTGTATGTTGCACTGGCTGTCTTACAAATCTCTTTTACTTTTTCAGGATTTGATTGTCTGTATGTTGCATTGGCTATCTTAAAACTCTCTTTTACTTTTTCAGGATTTGATTGTCTGTATGTTGCAGTGGCTGTCTTAAAAGTCTCTTTTACTTTTTCAGGATTTGATTGTCTGTATGTTGCAGTGGCTGTCTTAAAATTCTCTTTTACTTTTTCAGGATTTGATTGTCTGTATGTTGCAGTGGCTGTCTTAAAATTCTCTTTTACTTTTTCAGGATTTGATTGTCTGTATGTTGCAGTGGCTGTCTTAAAACTATCTTTTACTTTTTCAGGATTTGATTGTCTGTATGTTGTACTGGCTTTTTTCCAAGATTCCTTAATTTTCTCAAAATTCAAGTTTTTGTATTTCTTATTATACGACTTATTTCTCTCGCTTTCTTTTTTTTTAAATTCGTTGTTCGACCTTCTTTTTTTCATGTATTCCTTCATATATTCTTTTCTTTTCGAGACAGAGTTTTTATTACTACTGGATTGCGAATTTTGTGGGTTTGGTTTTTGCTTACCAGTTGCGGTCTGATTTCCAATTTGTTCAGAAGCAGATTGTTCAACTGGCGTTGTAGCAACATAATGCAGTTCGTCAAGATGTCCGATATAAATATCTCTTACATTTCCCTGAGCATAAATAGAGGTTACAACTGTAGTTTCAGTAAAATTTTGTGCACTTTCTGTGATGTGAATTCTTAAATTATTTGCATTCGCAACTGCCTGTATGATAATATGGTCTGCCCATGAGCCTAACCTTGACATATTCTGTAAATAATGCGACCACGATTGTTCAGTATTAGACTCTATGAAATGTTCTGGGCAGTTTATTAAATGTTGGATTGCAAGAGCTCTTATTTGGGCATGACGATTTTCTGTTCTGTAAAGCTGATGGCTTACACTACGAAATAAACAGTTACCATCACCGACAATGTTTACTGGCTCTCGTCCTATTCGAGCTAGTCTTGTGGTCAAAACTGACATATTTGAAGTATTTACGGGACCTGGGTTTAACTCTACATCACCAGACACAATTAAGAAATTTCTGTCAGATGTCTTTATTCTTTGCATATTACATTTACTACTACTAATGCCCACAACTTTACGTTTTACGTTGTTTGACGTAAACAATTTATGTTTTCTAAACAATTTATGTTTTCTAGTTCTAGCACGCTTTGTACTGTTTTTCAGACTTGCCAAGTTGTGCATAGACATTGACAATTGTTTATGTACTACAACTCTTCTTCTCTTAGTCTTAGATGTAGACTTAGTCGACTTAATAGCATGAAACGGCTTCCTAAATTTCCACATATATGCATTTGTTTGTTGCTGAATTATATCTTTTCGGTATCTTGTGGAAAGCAAATTGTGAAAGCAAGATGATTTAGGAAAAGACTGCTTAATAAACCGTTTTATTACACGCCTACTTTTTCTATTTTTGCTCATCAAATGAACTAACTTTTTAACGGGAATTCGAGACGGCTCTCGATCTCGGCTTTTGACATGTGTTAAAAGTTTACTGCGTGACCTACTTCGAGTAAAATTATTATGTGGACGAGTAGATGGCAAGGGTAATACTTCTTTCACTATACTTGCATATGTGTTGTTGCATTTTGGTAATGCAGTAGAGTTTTGGTTCACTGTTTCTGTGCTAAGATTGTGACATGTTTCAAAATAACAAGTCTCATTGACCTTTGATTTTATATTCCCAAGGTCACGTTGTGTTTCATGAGTCATTTTCATGTTTTCGCATGAATTCAATAATGTCACTTTAGATTTCAATAGTTTCACAGTTATAGCAGTGTTTATAGCAGTTTTGATATTAATAAGCTTTGATACAGATAAGTTCTCTTTGCACTGAACACGATTTTGCACCGTTGTGCTAGACCCGTGAACAAGGTCTGTGACGGTAACACGCTGGCTACCTCCTTGCCTTTTTCTTCTATTGCATAAAGCTCGCTGGCAAGTCAAGCGATTGGCGATAACACGTGGGCTATCTCCTTGCCTTTCTCTTCTATTTCGTAAAGCTCGCTGGCAAGTCAAGCGATTGGCGATAACACGTTGGCTATCTCCTTGCCTTTCTCTTCGATTGCATAAAGCTCGCTGGCAAGTCAAGCGATTGGCGATAACACGTTGGCTATCTCCTCGTCTTTCTCGTTTAAATAAAGAGCTCTGACGAGTCAAGAGGTTTTGTTTAGTGTCGCAAGTTATTTTCATCGTAAACGCCATTATAAAGTGCCGCTTCTCTTAGTTGTTTACGCTCTACTGATCTGATGCAATCATGCAATTTTCGCTCTGTGTCAGCATTGATGCACCAGCCAATCATATTATTGAATATCAACACGTGATGTTCACGTGCGGGTGTTATTCCCCCTAATCTCTGGACCCTAGAATCATTTCCATATTTAGAATCAATCAATCATGCTTGACACGTGCAGTATAATCTAATTCTATTAACCGTGGTATAACATATTTACATTTGCCAGCAGCTTATGTGGTTTCAGTGAACAGTCGCTATATATAAATGAATATACAATATAAATAATATCGACACTTAATAAAAATTAATGCCCGTAATGCATAAACATCAATTTATATATTGCGTACGATTTCAAAGCTTTTCTCAATATTCAGGCCTGAAATACTTTAATATACATTTGAAAACAACACTGTCTCGCTCTTTCCCAGCTCTGTATAAATAATATACCGTCAGAATAATATCGGCACTTAATTGAATGCCCGTAATGCATAATATCAACTTATATATTGGGTAGAATCTCAAAGATTTTCTCAATATTTACGTCTGAAATGTTTATACATTTGAAAAAAGCACTGTCTAGGTTCTTCCTAGCTGTGTATATAAATCAATATACCGTCTATTAGCGTCTATTAGCGTCTAAATAATATCGGCACTTGATTGAATACCCGTAATGCATAACATCAATTCATATATTTCTATAGATTCTCAAAGATTTACAGTATTTACTCAATATTCACGTGTTTATACATTTGAAATATAACCGACATTGTGTCGCTCCTTCCTGACATCGTGATCTGCGGCTTAGCGCCTGATATAGAGCATGCGCATTTGCGCTGCAAAAGAAAAAATCGGGTGTTCCGGGGTAAAGATCCTTTACACAACATGAGAAGCGCATGTTATAAAATTTACAATAACGACAACAATTCCTCGAATTTTTTGTAAACTTGGCAAAACTTGGCAAAAGGCCTAAAGAATATTTAAATAAGACAACTGAAATTGCCTAAATAACCTTCAAAGCACTGGCTAAGTACGATACATCACTACGAATATATATCGTAAACACCCCCCGGAAAGTTTACTGTATGACTGAATGAATGAATGAATGAATGACTGACTGACTGATTCGTGTGAATTTCCCCCCAGTCATCACAATACTGTGAAGTTTCGAAGAAACTTCACACTAAAAACGGATCAAAATTGTATTTTAAAATACTTAAAACGTAGAAAAATTGGGAATCGACTCGCATTACCTCAATCCCATTCCCATTTTTGAGGACTTCATTTCCCATTCCCAGTGGCCAAATCCCAGTCGCAGCAACCCAAATCCCATTTTCCCAGTCTAAAAATAGATCAATCCCAGTTCCCATTTTACCCCTTCAGGGCCCTCTTTACAACATTTCATAACCAATTTTGCACACTTACTAATTTTATAATAAGTTCTTCACGGGAATATACTTTATTTGTCTAGATAACAAATTAGTCTAACATGAAAGTTGTCTATTCTGACGGCATTTTGTTAAAGAGGTTTTTAAAAAACAGTTGCAAGGTGTTACTGATGGAAATTATCGGAGTGGAAATTTATATACATTTTATTAAGTAATGCAACTTTACAGTAGGCGGCCCTGCGAATCCGGTACAGCGCTCTGACCAACTCGACAACTGGCCTCTGTAACTCAGTGGGTTAGAGCGCTGCACCGAAATCGCAGGACCGCAGGTTCAATTTCTGCAAGGGACCTAACTGTAAAGTTGCATTTTTCGCAGATGTTCCTGGTTAGGTCTAATAAACAGTACATAAATTTCCACTCGATAATTTCCATCAACAACACTCTGCAACTATTGAAACGAGTGAGATGCCAACAGAATCCTGATTTAAAAACAGCCCTGCTACACTAGAAAATTAACTTTTGTTAGAAAATTAACTTTAGAATAATTTTTGTGATAGACATACCTGAAGTACACCGAACTACTGTACCTGCTCTATCGTGTAATCGTCACAAGTCTTGCGGTGCCTTCAGTTTAGTGGCGTTTTTATCCTATGATCTTACCTGCTAGGTCTATCAGCGCTTCCTACTTCGTCATCCGAGTCATCTTTGTGATAAGGGTCTTTGATAATTTCTCTAGCCAAGAAAACATAAAATTTATATATTATACCAATGCCATGTTCTATAATTTTTGAAGGACAGTTTTTTTAAAAAATGGAAAATGTTTACTTAGATCCGTTTTTGGACAAATATTACTTTAATGAAAAACAAACTTAGCTAAGATGACATTATCTAATTTATATGAAATAACAACTGAGTAGTTTGAATTTTTTAACCAAAATTACGTAACCGCTTGCTATAGCAACAAAAACATCTCAACATGGCAAATATTTCGGTATTAATGTAATTTAACTTTTGATTATTTATTAAAAGCTGCACCGAGTTACCTTAACACTTATTCATTTAATACATATTAACACTGAGATGCAAGAATATATAAACTTTAACACGTATATAATAAAATGTAATTGATTCTGTACTGACGGGATGTCATTTGCTCAATTTTGCAGCAAAAAACAAAGGCAAACCAATATGCAGTTCATATACTGTATGCATGTACAGTACAATATTGGTTGTGGCATTGTATTTCACCTAACCAATTTATAAGCTTTTAATATTGAACGGGGGAAGTTGAAAATTGCTGTTTTCGCAAGGATAGGATTGGGCAAGCCAGGTATATCTAATTACGCACGCGCTGATCACGATAATTCTTGCCAGGATTGTAGTTCAAACTTAGCTGGAAATTTACTGACTGCGAGTGAAATGATCAAAATCCTGATGGTTCAAACTTACTTAAATTTCCGATTCGCTACAGTCAAGTTTCTTAGAATTCGTCTTGTATCTCGGCAAAGATCATCCACCTTATTTCTTTCCTTCTTTCTTTCTTCCTTCTTTCTCCCACTCTCTGCCGAATCCTGTGTTTCATCGTCATTTTGATCAACCTTCTTTCTTTGCGGAGGGCTCTCACTCTCTGTTGGATCCTGTGTTTCATCGTCATTTTGATCAACCTTCTTTCTTTGCGGAGGGCTCTCACTCTCTGTTGGATCTTGTGTTTCATCTCCCGAGCTCTCAGTGTCTGAATTACAACAGAATACAAAGGATGAAAGATCATGATGACATTTCAATCCGCATCAACCCTCATTATCTAACCATGACGTCCGCCGCACACGAGAGAAACTTGCTGATCTAACCGCCTCGCGTGGCAGCTAGCTCAGCAAGTTTCTGTCGTGTGCGATAGTTTTCGTGAGGATTTGACCGCTTGAGGCCTTGAGGAAAATATCTACCGTATTTAGGGACCTGTCATTATTTATGGCGGGGGTGGCACCGAAGAGAAAAGGGTTGGGTAAACAAAATTTTGAGTGAGTAAAAGGTTGGGTAAATCAAAAACGAAACAACTCAAAGGTTGTGTAATAAAAAATTATTGTCATTTCCAAAGCATGACTCACTCAAATATTGAAGACTGAAAACTTCAAAGTCAACAGTCATATGTCAATACAACATGTGAATCAATCTATATCTTCATCATTTTCCGATTTGTTGGGAGACAAATGGTGTCTCCAAAGAAAGTAAATGTGCAGACAACATGAAACTTTAGACTGCAGAAAAGTCAGTAAATTTCACAAGCCGAACGTTAACAAACTATCAAACATTCACAAGCCGAACGTTATCAAACATATCACAGAAGTGGTAAAGGACTTGTGTCATGTGTGACAACTGAATGACATCCTTTTGTAACGTTTTTGGCCAAGGGTGGGTATTTATTTTTTAAATGATACTTGAGGTTGGGCAATCAAATTTTTGATTTTTTAATGGTTGGGTAAGCAAAATCTTTGCCACGAAAATCATTTCTCTTCGGTGCCACCCCCAACATAAATAATGACCGGTCCCTTATTATTTTTCACCTCGCGAGGAAAAAATGTCAACGTCTGCGGATGTTGCGAGCTCAGTGCTGAGCTGCTTGAATCAATTAGCCGATGAGAAACCATAGTTTCTTCATGTGACTTTGAACAAAATGAACTAAAATGCAAACGTTTTTGTCAATTATGTTGTTATTGAGCAGTTTTCCCAACGTGTGCGGCGAAGATGCACAGCTGAGCTAGCCACCACGCGAGGCGGCTAGCTCGGCAAGTTTCTCTCGTGTCCGGCAGGCTTTAAGTTTATTTGCGTAGTGTCTACGTCAAGTACGTGTTTCCAAGGTCTATGCTAATCAACACAGCTCTTATAAGACTATAATTATGATATGGATAAGGGTATTTTATTGGAAACTAAAACACTCGTATTAATTATACGCCACTACATCCGGGAGTTGAGTGGCGTATATTCCGTATGTCACGCTTAGGGGTGACAAACATTTCCCGATTGATATTGTTTTAGAAAATACAAATGGTCTTTGGTTCGTATTTAAAACGAAATTAACGTTGGAAATAAAACGAAAACATTTAAAAGACATCTTGAGATACGTAAAATTTATTCCAGTCTTATGTTTGCACTATAATTTTAAAAAATATCGCTTTTAAACTGGTCTTTCGCGTGCTTATTTACATGTCGTCTTTGTGTGTATTTTTGTCACTCTGAGTAAGTCCATATAATAAACAGAACATTAAACGGTTGCGAGAAGATATGGATTTATGTTCTCGTATATATATATATATATATACATATATATATATATATATATATATATATATATATATATATATATATATATATATATATATATATATATATATATATATATATATATTAGGGTTGCCAAACCTATTTTCATAAAAGTCCGTAGCGAGAATCGAACCCACGTACTGTACTCAGGGGTGAAAGGCGCCTGCTCTGACGATTATGCCACCGAAGTCCCCTACAATTAGTGGTATCGAGTGAGATGCCCCAAATCCTGATATTTACGCATACATTTACATCGCCTTGGTCTATATATACATAAACTTGCGCCGTTGGAGCGTTACAAGTGGCCTCTGCAGCTCAGTTAGTTAGAGTGCTGCATCGGAATAGCAGGGCCGCAGTTTCGATTCCTGCCAGAGTAGACTGCGAGCAGTCCCTCCTTAGAAGGAAAGGAGGGACTGCAGACAACACATCATCAATAAACGAAATACGCCCACTTTTCGCACCGCCCCTTAGCTCCAATATAATTTGGCGTTGTAAACAAGTAACTATTTATAGCACGTATCGTATTGTTTCAAAAGTACATGCAGTGAAACGACGACGTTTACGTTTTAAAAGCAAAAATACATAGTATTAAAATCGTATTCGCTCGAAATAACATACTATAGCCTAAACGCTTTCAGACAGTATGGATAAAAATGCTACAACATTTAATTAAGGGACCGGTCATTATTTATGGCAGGGGTGGGGGCCGAAGAGAAAATGGTGGGGTAACTGAAAAATAATAGTTGCTTTAGGTGGGGTGGCCAAAAAATCCTTGCATGCAGAGGTGGGGTAAAAAAAAATAACCTTACTTTAATCACACACAATACAATATATACTACTATCAGAATTTAATATGTGATTATTCTAATTTTTTAATAAAATATTATTGCTTTCCAAAATGTTGACAGAAACACCACCCTCAACCCACTCGTAAAGGGTCATTTTTATATTCATTTACACACAAAATCTCCAAAGACTCCAATTACCAGACAAAATATATACTGCCTATATATAGGGGCTGTTTATATGGTGCAACTGCAAGCCATCCCCAGGGTACCCAAGCTGGCCCAGTTTTGGCAAGATCCTGCCTTTGTTGTTATTTCTTACTAAAGTTCACCTTGTGTATATATGGGTAAAGAGCGGGCACAGCTATAGCTAAGCGAGATCCCAGCCCTTTAGCCCGAGATCTTGCTTCAGAAAAAGTGACCTTAAGTCTGTAGCCCCTAACCCCGGGCATCCAGCCTGACCCCCATATAAACATCCTCTTATTACATATCTCAAAAAGTATATGTACAGTCTATTAAATTTTCAGGATTTAATTTTTGGGCATCTACACTTGATACTGCATAACTAATATTTATATCCAGTATGTGCTTGTAAACCATGTGGACAATTCAGGTAGCAAATCATGAAATATCCCCATGCCCCTTGTGAATCTGGAGAATCATTCCAATGGCTAGTTCACAATATGTTCATCTCTAGCCTTTGGCAACTAGCTGTTTTTCTTTACTAGCAGATCATGTATACATGGATAAAATAAGAGAAATCTATTTACCTGTTTTACAGATTAATTTAATTGTTTATATAATCATACTTGGAATTCGGATGAATATCTTTATCTTCACACTGTATAACAGTAACTTTTTCTCATTAATTTACAGTAACTTTCTAAATTCAGATATTCTCACATGGGACAAATACTTTAGTATCGTTGTATTGTTTACAAATTAAAATATTAAATTGATTTCATAAACTTCAAGAATTCCTTGGGAATTCTTAAGGAATTCCTTTAAAATTCCGTGATAATACATGTGAGGATATAGTAAGGAAATATTAAACGAATTTCAGAGGAAATTTTAGAATTTAGATAGTTGCAATCATGGGTGAGCACATATTTTGTGAAACTGTTTCAAAATAAAATTGCATTTCAATTAATAAAGAAATGCAAGAATGTGAAAGAAACCAAATTATATACAGTGAAACTTTAAAGTGGGAAAGAGATAGGGTGGTGAAATACGGTTAGTGTTCTAAAATATTGA